GTAGCAGTAGCAGTAGCAGTAGCAGTAGCAGTAGCAGTAGCAGTAGTAGTAGTAGTAGTAGTAGTAGTAGTAGTAGTAGGAGGAGGAGGAGGAGGAGGAGGAGGAGGAGGAGGAGGAGGAGGAGGAGGAGGAGGAGTAGTAGCAGTAACAGTAGGTGGGGGCAGGAGGAGGTGGCGGAGGAGAAGGAGGAGGATGAGGAGGAGGAGGAGGAGTGGCATAAGGAAGAGCGGGAGCAGGATATATATAGTCAGAGAAGGAGGAGGAACAGGAGGAGCAGGAGGTGGAGAAGGAGGAGGAGGAGAAGGGCTGGAGGAGGAAGAGGACGAAGCAGAACAGAAAAACTAATGATGGGGCGGGCGAGGAGTGCAAGAGGAAGGAAACTAAGAATTTTGGTTCTCTCTCTCTTTTTCCCCCCTTTCTGACACTTTCTCTATACATATGATTTATGCATATATGTATAGATACGTGTGTGTATATATATGTATGCAGATACATGTGAATTTACATCGGTCGATCTATACATCGATATGTATTGTCATCCCCTTTGCGCTGCATCTGACCTATGTGTCACGTTCGGCATTCGATTAGCTGTCGGGTGAGCCAGCCTGCCTCTCTTCATTATCATCTATCCGCTCCCACCCCTTTGCTCGCAGGCGTCTCTCGCTGGTCGTCAAAAGTGGGCGTTGGCCTTCGCAGCGTCGTCGTCGTTGTCGTTGTCAACAAGGGAGGAAAAGCCACCACGACCGTAATAATTGACCTTTGCGAAACGTCACTGGGCGTTTGCTACACAGCCCCGCCCTGTTCGACTCCTCCCCTGGCTGCGTTTATTGAACGGCTTCTCTTGTCGGCGTGCTTATCGGCAGGGTGGATGCCTGCTCTCTATGTCAACCTGTGCTCGTCGCCGTCGTCCCTCGTCTCCGTCGTCTTCGGCGTCGTCTCTCGTCTTCGTTGGCGTCTTTCGCCTCGCCCGGCGCAGGTCGGTTCGAGGGCAGGCCGTGTCTTTGTTCCTGATCGCCTCGTCGCTGGTCGGCAACATCGGGCCTGCTCTCGTGGCCCCACGCCGCCCGCTCATCTGTCGCCGCCCCTGGGGGTCTTGGAATGTTCTTTTCTCCTCGCTAGGATTCGTGAGCGGGCCATGACCCGGTCAAGCGTATGCTGTCGTTGGCCACGAGACAGGGTGCAGTTTGGCCAGAGGGCAGCAGAAGGGGACCGTCAAGAGGGCTGGGGACAGGGAGGCGCGGCTATCTCTTGTACTCTCCACGGAGTGCAGTGAATCGGGGTTATTTCTTTCACGCTCGCAGTTAATTCTTTCACGCCTACAGCCAGTTGCCGCCAGTTGTACAACGTGCAGTTCGTTTTGACACTTGCGTCCGATCGTTGTGTGCCTGAATGTAGACGGCGTTGTATATTTCTGGATTTACCGCTACATGCAAACATGTGTTGCTAGTTCTCACACTTGTAGCGTGCTGTTTCCAACCGAAGCTGATTGTAGATCATGATTACGTTCGAAACTGCCCCGTAGTTTTTACAAACGTATCTCTGTTGAAGGGACTAACGCGTTTCCGCCGACCTTCCAAAGGTGGTTGGGCGAATGTGGATTCTTTCCGCGTTCCGTTTCCACAACAGCCCATCCAGAAACTATTCTTGGATTCAACATCGAGTGAGGTACGTAAATAAGCATACAGTCAAAGAGGAATAGCAACAGCGCTGAAATTCATAGACTCCAAGGAGCCTCTTGGAGGTCTCTCGGGGCCCGTTTGCGAGCCTTTGCTTTTTGGAGGCCCCTTTGGAGGCCATGGGGGTCCTCTTGGAGCCTCGGTGCAAAACGGGTTGTCGTAAAGAAGCACCCCCGCTTAGAGGCCGACAATTCGCCTCCTGGGCCCTCTGGGGACCCTCCTCTTGTGGGCCTTCGGGGCCGTCTTGGAGCGCTTCTGGGCCCCTCTTGGGCGACAGAAACAAATCGTTGAACAACCATCCCTGGCCACTTGAGGCCGTCTTGGAGCCCCTCGGTCTTGCAGGAACTCTTCTGGAGCAGATTTGAAGAGAAGACCATTTTGGGCACCTTGGAGACGTCCGAGAGTGGCTCTGAGGTCCTGGATGGCCCGGGAGATGTGCCGTGTAGCTCGTACCTTCCCCTCTCCTCCCCCTCAGCCGGCATTTTGGAATCCCAGGGCCCCAGGGAGGAGGAAAGGGGGGGGACAGTTGATGGGGGAGGGGGACAGCAAAGCATCTCACACGCCTTCTCCACCGGCAGGAGGGGTTGGCGGATCTCTCATATATGCGAAGTCCGTCGTGCTTTCCCCCCCCCAGGGCCCAAACCATCGGCTAGCCCCCCCTCTCCTCTTTCAGAGTCTCCCCGAGCTTCTTGAGGGCTCCAAGGCTTGTTCTCTTCCTCTTTTTCTTCTTCCTCCTCCTCCTCCCTTCTGCGCCCTCCGCCTCCCTCCCTCCCTCCCTCCCTCCTGGTCCCAGGATGCTGTCGTGGGGCCTCTTTAGGTATGTTGGATGCCGTCTTGGTCCAGCTTAGGCCTCTTGTGCCATCTTTGAGGCCATCGATGAGCATCTGGGACCCTCCTGGAGTCGTTTGCCAGCAGAGTGGTCCCTCTGATGCCTCTCAGGAGGGCCCGTCCAAACCCCTTCTGGCTCATGCTATCTCTGCCGACAACAGCGTCACCCACGTGGGCGGCGCTACACCATGCAAGGTCATGGGGAGGAGGAGCGAGGAGGAGGAGGAGGAGTGGGAGCGAGGAGGAGGAGGAGGAGGAGGAGGAGGAGGAGGAGGAGGAGGAGCGAGGGAGGAGGAGGAGGAGGAGGAGGAGGAGGAGGAGCGAGGAGGAGGAGGAGGAGGAGGGAGGAGGAGGAGGAGGAGGAGGAGGTCATTTCGGACGGCAGCCGTCAATGCTGCCACCACTAAAGCAAACAGTGAGGGTGCGGTATCTGGTGCCTGTGGCACGGGTGCTGGCCCCTCCTCCTCCTCCTCCTCCTCCTCCCCCCCCTCCTCCCCCCCTCCCCCCTCCTACTCCTCCCTCCTCCCTCCCCCTCCCTCCCCCTCCTCCTCCTCCCTCCTCCTCCCCCCCCTCTCCTCCTCCTCCTCCTCCTCCTCCTCCCCTCTCCTCCTCCTCCTCCTGGTGGAAAAGTGCAGCCCAGCCGCATTCGGTGGCACATCCGAGAGATCGCCCTGCAACGCATGACCGAGGCCACTTCGATGTCGCGTGTCAACTGCGCAGTCCGGACCCGCGCCGACGAGTTTGGGGATGGCCGTTTCAACGTCGTTGGCGACCAGGTAGAGATACAGAAACCCCCGATCATGAAGGACTTGTCGGGCTTGGCTGGCCCTGGGGCGGTCATGTTTGTTGCCCCGCCTGGTGACGGTCAGGTACCGCCGAGCCGATGTAGCATGTAGACTGCAAGACGTCCGGCCATTCATCGGCGCCGTCTTCGACGACATGGTCACCAGCCGGGTCCGAGCAGGCCGAGCGTGGGACCGCGTGGAGGACTGCCTTGGACACATCACCAGGCTCCGGGCCAGGACCTTCGGCCACAGGACAGCGCCCCGACATCTTCGAAACTCTGCGCCATTTGTCCCGCAGATGCTTTCAGTTGCCAGACGTTCACGTCATGCGTCTGCGCGGCCAGAAGTCCGTGGGGCATTGGCCAGGCTGCACCCGCAGTTTGGCTACGTGGTGGCTCCCGTAGAACCCGAGTGGCATCCAGAAGATCTCTTTCGACGGCGTCAATTTCGACTCCCATCAGCTTATCGGCGAGCAGTGGGAGGAAGCTTACATCATCCAGGTGATCTTGGCTGACGAGCCGCTGCTGGCAGCAGATGCCAAACAAGACCCAGGCGGATCGTTCGACGATTGTGTTATCGGCGTTCCCGAGAACGCCGCCCGTCTCATTGAGGGAGGTTCGCCATCGGCCCTGTCGGGTATCCCCGAGGAGACGAAGAGCGATTGCCTTGGCCACAGCCAACCTGCGATGTTGGCGGCCTGGCGCGAAGTCGAAGAAACGGGAGACCTGGCCGAGGGGCTCGAGGAGCTGGGGGGCGCCGACAGCTGGCAGAAGGTCTCCGCTGCTGTCGAGCACGTCGCGGCCGGTCTTGGCCGCGGGCCCAGCGTGTGGCCGCGGCGCCTCGAGACGCAGTGCCAGCGTCGGAGCATCCACGCGCGGTGCCACTATTACCTGCGCTGGGCCTGCCTGGGCGACTGCGCCACGCCAGAGGGAGAGGGCGAAGGGGGAAGGCGCGGGGAGTTGCATCTGGATCCGGAGGTGCGCGAATAATTCTTGAGCTTGGACAAGCAAGCGTCTGGCGACTGTGTCGCTAGCGCTCCCTGGGCAGCCGCGCGTGACATGTGCGTCGCCGTCGAGACAGCGGGCGTCGAGCGCGACGCCGACCTTCGGGCCGACGAGGCGGCGTCGAGGCTGTCAGGGGAGGTCGTGGCTGCCGTTTTCGACGAATTCACCATCTGTGTCAAGTGGCAAGTTTTCGAGAGGCGACCGCTCGAAGGCGCCCGCGACGCAAAGGGCTCCAGACGCGCCTTCAGGCGGGCGCCTTCCGTGGCGTGGGCGCCAGGGCCGTGGGCGTGTTCGCTGGGGCATCGAAGCGGGCGTCGCAGCGCCTGCCGTGGCGGCGCGTCGCCCAGACTGGGCGCGCGTCGCCGTGGGCGTCGAGCAGCACGCCACTTGCGCCGAGATGCAGGAACAAGGCGGGGCACCCCGCCAGGGGATTTTCACCCCGCCGCCTGGCGGCGCAGCCGTTCTCAGGCAGGCGCCCGGCTACGAGAGCTTCGACGAGCGGGCCGAGTGCTTCCGCCGCGTTGAGCCTGGCGCGGGCTGCGAGGGCGCGCCCCGAGCCTTCCCCATGGGGCTCGCCCGGGTCGCGCGCCCGCTGGAGCGCGGCGCTGCGCCCGCCGGGCGGGGCGCGGAGTTCGAGGTCACGTGCGAGACGTCTGTTCCCGTGACACCAGCGGCTCGGAGCTACTAGTTTTCATGTCGCCCACGCGCGTTGACGATCTGAAGACCGCTTGGCGCGAGGGGCGCGTCGACTGGCTAATCGGCCACATCTTCGTCGGTATGAAGGGTGATCGCGATGGTGTCACCCAGGGGGCGCGCCGACGCCGCAGCGCCGATGGTGCAGTGACGCTCGACCAGGATGAGCATTTCGACGCCCTGACGCCGATCGGGCGCGCCGACTTGGTCCACGGCCGAGGCTGACAAGCCGGCCCGATGTCAGCTTCCAGACCTTTGGCTCCCACCTGGGGGCGGTGGCCCGCGCGCTGCCCAACCGGCGTTTCGTCGCCGCGCGTGTCGTCGGGCTGCGGAGCGCCGAGTGCAAGCTGCTCATTCGACGCGCGATGCAGCTTAGCTGAATAATCTGGCCACGCAGACGATCAGGGCGTCGCGTTTCCCGCCGCGAAGCGCGCTGGGCGACTCAGCGCGGGCCGCGACGGGTCATTCAAGAGGGGGGGGGGGGGGGCAGGGCGCGCCGCGTGGGGGGCCGCGTGCGCGCGTCTCGGCAAGCGCCGCCGCGGCGGCAAACGGGCGCCACTTGATGGGCGCAGTGTGCGGCGGATCGCGCAAGCAGTTGTGCGGGCCCTCGTTCGGCTCAGAACTTGTCGCGGCATGCGGCGCGGCCGACGGGCTGCGGGCGCGCCTCGCCCCGTTCCGCGAGATAGTGCGCGGCCCCGCCTCTGCCGAGGATATCGGGGGGGTGGGGGAAGAGAGACGTTGCGCGGTCCCTGGAGATTTTGCCACCGACTGCACGTCCGTCTTCAGCGCCCTGCTCGCGGGCCCGGCGCGGCCGCGCTCCGAGAACGGCATGGCGGCCCACCTGTGGTGGTTACTTGGCCAGCTTCGCGCCGAGTGGAGCGAGGGCCTCCTCTGGTGCGATGCTCGGGGCATGCGCGCCGAATCCGTGACCGGGGGCAGCGCGGGTCGGGGGCTCATCCGTGTGACGGGCGGCCATATCAGTTGTGACCATGATGCGGTCAAGTTTAGCGACGTGGCGCGGAAGGTCGCCGCCCCGAGCTTCCATTGCAGTTTTTTCGCCCAACAGTGAAGTGGCGACCTTTGTGATTTCGTCGCGAGGTCGACCTCCGCGTCGTCAAGTTTGCGGGCGTTGACGGCGAGAGTGATGAGGAAGTCGAGCACGCAAATGAGTGCTGCCTCAGCTGATTATGTCAGCTTGGCAGTCGCGCGCACTTGCATGCGTTCCGCCAATTGTCCCTCGCTTGCATCAGGCACCTTTAAAAAACTGGGCGGTCAGCAGAGCCCTCTTTGTCGCAGGCAATCTGTTATGGGTGCGGCCAGTGGAGCATTCGGGCATAATTTCACACCGTGGTTTCCTGTGCGGTTCGCGCATGCGGGACCACCGAGGGGACTGGTTTGAGCACCGGACTCGAACGGTACCATTTGTGCCCATGCCACCCATCCGTCCTGTCTTCGCCGTTGCCATGTCAATTGGGTCGATCCTAGCGCGCCTGCCATGTTATCGCCGTATATACCTCGCACGCGTCAATTCGCCTTCAGGGAAAACTTTGCCCATGCACATAACTTGTTAAGTCCATTTCTCTGTTGGAATCGGCCCCGGGGGTCTTTTTCATGGTGCGCGTTCAGAATCTCGAAGCGCACCCACCCGCTGCGACGAGGGGGGCCCTTCCAAGTCCCACAGGAGGTAAAAGAGGCTCCTCGAAAGAACTTTTCCCGCTTCTCCCATCCCCAGTATAGTGCTCCTCCTGCTTCTCTTCCTCCTCCTCCTCTTCCTCCTCGTCTTCGTCCTGACCCCCCCCCGGCGGCGTCCGCTTCCTGCCGCGGCGGAGTGGCCTTGGCCAGGGCTTCTTCGACCCCGGTGGCGAGCGGATCGGGCTGCACCTGCTGTGGATTTGCATCACCGCGAACCTAGGCGCCGGGGGGCTTTCAAGCAGCAGCTCGTTGTCTTCCTCTTTTTCCTCCTCCTCCATCCTCTTGTTCTTCAAGTAGTTCGTCGTTGTCCCACCTCGAGACGTGTCGGTAGGGCGGGCCGGGCGTTTCGCCTGATTGGTCCCCACGGTTTGTGATCCCCAAACTCCCACGTTGCAGCGCTTTCGCGGATTGGAGGTGGGTTGTTTTTCCCAACCATCCTGTGGTGTTGGGTCTTCGTTTTGAAGAGACGGTGCCCCGCGTTCCTCCTCCCGCTGCCCCCTCCCCCTTGCCTCTGCCCTCCGCATGTTTCTGTTTCGGCACATCCCTCACGCGGTCCGTGGCCCCATAGGGAGCTCCACCGAAGGCTCCAGTGGCAGGGTCCGCATGGCGGCCCCGCATTTTGGCGCACCCCTCACACGGTTCGTGGCCCCATAGGGAGCTCCACCGAAGGCCCCAGAGGCAGGGTCCGCATGGCGGCCCCGCATTTTGGCGCACCCCTCACACGGTTCGTGGCCCCATAGGGAGCTCCACCGAAGGCCCCAGTGGCAGGGTCCGCATGGCGGCCCCGCATTTTGGCGCACCCCTCACACGGTTCGTGGCCCCATAGGGAGCTCCACCGAAGGCCCCAGTGGCAGGGTCCGCATGGCGGCCCCGCGTTTTGGCCCGCCCTCACACGGTTCGTGGCCCCATAGGGAGCTCCACCGAAGGCCCCAGTGGCAGGGTCCGCATGGCGGCCCCGCATTGGGGCGCACCCTCACACGGTTCGTGGCCCCATAGGGAGCTCCACCGAAGGCCCCAGTGGCAGGGTCCGCATGGCGGCCCCGCATTTTGGCGCACCCCTCACACGGTTCCGTGGCCCCCGCAGGGCGGCGTGGCCCCATAGGGAGCTCCACCGAAGGCCCCAGTGGCAGGGTCCATGGCGGCCCCGCATTTTGGCGCACCCTTCCCCCATAGGGAGCTCCACCGAAGGCCCCAGTGGCAGGGTCCGCATGGCGGCCCCGCCCCATTTTGGCGCACCCCTCACACGGCTCGTGGCCCCATAGGGAGCTCCACCGAAGGCCCCAGTGGCAGGGTCCGCATGGCGGCCCCGCCCCATTTTGGCGCACCCCTCACACGGTTCGTGGCCCCATAGGGAGCTCCACCGAAGATGATGCCCACAATTGCGGTATTAACAATTGCTTATGGTTGGGTCTTTCGCCAGGCTAATTCATAGGTGGCTTTCGTTTCAGCGCCGCGCATATTCGTGGCAACGGTTTGCACTAGTTTCGCGGCATCAGGCCAGGTGGTTTTCAAAATGCGCCTTTCGCCGCAGCGCCGCGCACATTCATTTCAAACGTTTGCCGTTTGCCGCAATTTCACGGGCGGATGGCGGTACGTTTTCAGAACGTGCCTCTTGTTGTAGCGCCGCGCACATTCGTCGTCTTCTTTTGGAATGTTTTCACGGTTGGAGGGCGTTTTTTTCCTAAATGTGTTTCTCGCCCTCGTGCCGCGTGCGTTCGATTTAAAAGTTAGCAGGGGCGTCGCGGATGGATTGCGGGTGGTTTTGAACATGTGGTTCGCTTTGGCGCCGCGCGCATTCGCCACAACAAATTGCCAAACATTTTAAAATGGAGGGCAGGTGGTTTGAACATGCGGCTTTTGCCTTAGCGCCGCGCGCATTCGTCCCAAACGCTTGCAGGTTCTTCTCGGATTCAGGGTGGTTCCTGTTTCAGATGTGGCTCTCGCAGTAGCACGGCTCGCGCTCGTCCTACAATCTCCAGGAATTTCCACGGCCGTCCCCAAACTATGCGCTGCTTCACAGACGGGGGGCGGGTGGTTCGCCCCAACATTTTGCAGGAATTTCGCGGATCCAGGATGGTTCTTGTTTCAAATATGGCTCTCGCCGTAGCGCGGCGCGCTCTCGTCCAGCAAATTTTGCAAGAGTTTCACGGATGGAGGGCGGATGGTTTTCAAAAGGTTGTTCTCGCCTCATCGCCGCGCACGTGCGTTTTGAAATTTTGCAAGAGGTTCGCGGATGGAAGACGGTTTGGTTCTCGCCTGGGCGCCGCGCACATTCGCTGTAAAAGTCAAGAATAGGTGCGCGGATTCTTATGTTTTGCCGTCCCATGAATTGTGTTCGTGCACGGTTTAGGTTTGTCAGGGCGCAGCAGTCATGATGATTCGCGGTGTTGACGTTCCAGGAACGGTGTTCTGGTGCGATTGAGGATCGTCCGGAAGCAACATTAAAATTGATTCGCGGTGCTGAAATCCAAAGAGTGGTGTGTTGGTACGATTGGGGGTTCTCAGACGAGGGGACACTTCCAGAAGCGAGCGCAAACATTCGTAGGGGCCTATAAAGAGGGAGCGTACAGGGAGGGTTACATTGTAACATCGTTGATTCGTCATGTGTTAACACTGGTCCGGGGCGCCCTCAATTCGGTCCCCTTCCGTTCTGTTGGGTTCGGTTGGGGTTGCTGGATTTGGACTCCCTCCTCCTCTCCAGGCCTCCCAGGATTGGCCCGAGGCAGATGGGTCGGAGGAGCGCGCCGCACCGCCGACGCCTCGGCGATGCGGCTCGATGTGGGGCCCGATTCTCTCCACGCCGACGGCGATGCGGCGCGATTTTCCCACCCCATATGATGGACTCTATTCCCTGACATCAGCCGATATGATTTTTCCCAACTTGGCGGCGAGCCCATGGGGGATGTGAGAAGGGGCGGGGCTTCTCAGAAGGCTCCGCTGTCCCCCGGCCTTCTGAGACGTTTTCTGAGCCTTCCCCGAAGACGCAACAAATTGCCAGAAGGCTGGAGGCTTCTGAGAAGCCCCGCCGCCTTTGAGAATGCTTTCTCCTTCTCACTTCCCCGTCTCGCTCGCCGCCGACCACCCCTTCTGTGCGTTGGGCTCCAGTTTTGAACAGAGCGCCGCTCGCGCGTCTCCCTCCCCACCCCCTCCTCTGCCTGCCTCTTGCTTCACCGTGTGTGTGTGTGTGTGTCCTTCTGTGTTTTGTGCGTCCTCTCGGGGGCTGCGAACTGCGCAACGGTCAGCACTGTCGTGGGCTCCTGGGAGGCGCGGCGTTAAGTGAGGGCAGCGCAGATCACGTGGAGACCTTGCGGCTCTCTCGGGGCCTGCGAACTGCGCAAGGGTCGACACTGTCGTGGGCTCGTGGGAGGCACGGCGCAAGTGAGGGCCGCGCAGATGGCTTCGGACCTCGCGGCTCCATCGGGGGCTGCCAGCTGCGCCACTGTCTCTACTGTCATGGGCTCGTGGGAGGCATGGCGCATATGAGGGCAGCGGGGATCATTTTGAGACCTCGCGGCGCCCTCGGGGGCTGCGAGCTGCGCGACTGTCGCCACTGTCGTGGGCTCTAGGGAGGCACGGCGGAGGCGAGGGCAGCGCAGATCACGTGGAGACCTTGCGGCTCACTCGGGTGCTGCGAATTGCGCAACCGTCGCCACCTTCGTGGGCTCCTGGAAGGCATGGCGCAGATGAGGGCAGCGAGGATCATTTTCAGACCTCGCGGTCCCCTCGGGGGCTGTGAGCTGCGCAACTGTCGCCCTGTCGCCATTTTTGATGACTCCCTTGGCCGAGTCTGGGAAACACGCCCGCATTGCGACACGCATCTCGTCGGAGATCTGGGTTGAGAGGTTCCCGTCCTCCGGGCTCCGGCGGCGGGGCCGAAACCATCTCGTGCAGATGCTTTGGGCTCCGCCGCGCTTGCCTCGACACATTGGCGCCCTTGGCGTTGGGTGGTGCAGTGGAAGTCAGCTACGTGAGCTGCTTGACTAGGAGCGCCTGGGAACACGCGGGAACGCCTCGGAGAACCTGGGAGCGCCTGGGAGCTACGACGCACGCGTAGGAACGCTTGGGAGCGCCTGGGAGTCGCTAGTCCCCCATTCACGAACCCCCCTTGGGTCCTGGGTGTGCGTGCGCGTGAAGGGGGGAGGTGGTGGACCGCAACCGTGCGGCTCAAGCCTCTCTTCGCCTGAAGGCAGGCGCTCATGCCCCGTCCCTGCGCCCCTGCCCTCTTCGCCGCGCCATACTCGGCAGGACTCTGGAGGGCTTTCCTGGGGCAGCCCGGCCCGACGCCGGACAGTGCGCTCCCTCCTTCTGCTGCTGCTGCTGCTGCTGCTCCTCCTCCTCCTCCCTCTCCTCCTCCTCCTCCTCCTCCTCCTCCTCCTCCCTCTCCTCCTCCTCCTCCTCCTCCTCCTCCTCCCTCCTCTCTCCTCCTCCTCCTCTCCTCCTCCTCCTCCTCCTCCTCCTCCTCCTCCTCGCGACGGGGGAGTCGTGCGTCCCCTGGCCAGCACCCGAGCGGTGTGCAGAAGAGGTCTGTCAGCCCTGTGAGTGCGAGTCGTGTATCCCTTGCCCGGCACTGGAAAGGTGCGAGGAGACGGTCGAGCCGCCCGTGACGAAGTGTGAGTCGACGGTCAGCACCGAGTTGGATCGTGAGGGCGCGACGCCAGCCAGCTGGTGGCAGATTGGTTTCGGCGCGCCAGCTACGTTTCTGAACGGACTTCTGTTACCCTGCGGGTGCCGAGCCGACTCCTGGGAGTATGGCCATCGTCGAGCGCACTACGCCCTTGCCAGGGCACGTGTTCGTGGTGTTCTTCGAGGGTGACGCCTGGGGCCACGAGCGCCTGCTGATCTGGCCACTGTCCCCCTCGTGTTGGCTGGTATACGCATCTCATGGGGACTTCTATGGCGAGGACACTACTTTGTATGACAAGGTGGTGTCGGTGAAGGCGCCTGGTGAGCGGCCGGCAGGACTCGAGGACGCGAATATCGTACAGTTTGATGCTCCAGTTCAGCGGGAAGAGTTGCGGGATCTGATGGCCGCTGCCCACCTACGTGCCGATGGGCTGAGACAGGCACGCGGGCCACCGGATTGGCTGGCGCCAGGGCGCTGGACCGCCGGCGAGGGCATGTTCGAGGCCGCGCCGCGGCCCCGACGGGTATTGGGACGCGGATCGCTACCGGTGCCAGGGGCCCCCCCTGCCGCCGACGGCCACGGCGCGGTCGCGCTTT